CCCCAGTGACTTAAGACTGCTTTTGTGCTCCAGGGTCACAAATAAAGAAACAGTGGAGCACAGATATCATCACATTCATGCACTCAGCATTTCTTTCCACCTTTTTGCTCAACCTTGTATCACATATCGCTGTAATCTCTTGATATATTTTATTTTATGTAATTCTAGGAAGAGCTGAAGTCCTTACAAGAAAAACTTAAACACAGAGAGAAAATTAAAGAAGAGTGTGTGAAAATATCTCAACACATTCAGGTGAGGATACCCATCAAGAGTCAAATACATATCTATACACAATTATGATTTGTAATATTTAATGTAACAGATTCCATTTACAGTGATTCCTGATTTAGTGTATTTTTTGTAAATGACAAGCAGCAGATTGCTTTTCGTTCATTAACCCCATGGTCATGAACTTTCAACTTTCAATTAATACTTCAGGACGATTTAGAATATATTAGAATACATATATATAATTCTTTAGAATGCAAGAAGTGTGAACAGAATGTAATGTTTTCAAATAAATGTTTTAAACTCTACATGTGCTTTAGTATGTTAGTCAACACATCAAAACGAGTGTACTTCTTTAAAAAGCATGAGAAAAGATTATTAAAATGTAATGATTTAAAATTTACTTTAAAGTAAAACTTCTATTTTGACATTATAACAGTGCACATATTAAAAGTGAATTTAAGTGTGTTAAAGTAAATTCTCTTTAAATAAACTAAATACATTTTATTTCAATAATATAGTATGTACAATGTAAAAATACATTTGTAAGATTTGAAGTACACTACAAGTGCACACTTGTTCATACTTAAGTGTAAATGATCAAAGTGAATGTGATTTCATTTCAGTGTCAGGCGGAGCACACTGAACGTCAGATTAAACTGGAGTTTGAGAAGCTTCATCAGTTTCTCAGAGATGAAGAAGAAATTGCCATCGCTGTGCTGAGGGAGGAAAAGGAGCAGAAGAATCAGATGATGCAGGAAAAGTTTGAGGAGCTCAACAGACACATCTCCGCTCTTTCACACACAATCAGAGACCTGGAGAAGATGATGAATGGCAATGAAGTTTTGTTTCTAAAGGTCTCATTTCAGATAACTGATTCATTAATTAATCACTGATTCAGTTATTCATTATTTGAGAAAATAATAAGTTGTCTGTTTATTTTCCAGAACTTTCCAGATGCGATGGAAAGGTGAGTGATCGGTTCGTGTCCCTTGTGTCTCTGGTTCTGAACACATCACAAACCCACTGCAGTTCTGACTCCTGAATGTTCTCCCAGAGTCCAGAGCTTACGGTCGGATGCACAGCTGGCTTCTGGAGCTTTGATTAATGTGGCACGTTACCTGGGCAACCTGCCATTCAGAACCTGGAAGAAGATGCAAGATGTTGTCCAAAACAGTGAGTCGTTAGAAAAGTGACCCCCCCCCCCCCC